TTCAAAAATTTTTTTAACCTTATTTTTTGGTACGTTACTCTCTAGTAACGCCTCTTATCTTCAGCACGTATACAGACTTAACATAAGTTAAGGACCACTTGCAAACACTGAGTAGTCTTCTTGGGTCGACCTGCACGTGGGCGTTCTTGGATTGATCCAGAGGCTTGATGGCGCTGCCTCAGGCGGACAATGACAGAGTGTGACACTGCAAGCCTTCTGGCGACTTCTCGGGCTCCAACTCCATCCTGCAGCCATGCCATAGCCCTGGCACGATCAAAGTCTCTCAGCTTTCGTCTAGGTGTCATGTTGATGCGATACTGGATTTTGCGCAAACGGCGGCTTATATTGCCACCAAAGTGAGCACAGTTCGAGACCGTACGTCCGTTTATGACGTGCACCAGAAATTTTAATTAAGGAATGTCCGTGGCTCTAAGTCGATAAAAAAAACCCAGCAAATTGGTCCTTAACTTATGTTGAAGTCTGTAAGTTCTGTGACCTAAGTGTGAATTAAACGCTGTGAAACTCTTACTAAAAACCAAACACGCGGGGATCATACGTCTTGTGTTGCCTGTGCCTGGTTGTTGGAAGGGCTCGCCACGACTGTGTCATTTTTTGGACTTTGGCTTTGGCTAGTTTGGATTGGAGGGTGGTTGGCGTGTGCTGTGGTGTGGTTTGCTCCTTCTTTCCTATCGAACATCTACCGTCCTTATCCCTTATCTCCCCCCCGCCCCTTCTTTTTGTGTTTGTTACTCTCTTGTAACACCTCTATTCTTCGGCATTTATATGACCTTATTGTGTTGCAAGTGCCGTAAAACACTTACTTAAACTATCAACTGACTCGTGCGGCTCCCTGGTGCAGCTCAGCACACCACAGAGCTACACAAGAGCCACTGTCTGTCAACGTCAAGACATACATCGCATATCTCTCTGTCTGTCTCTCTGTCTCTCTCTCTCTCTCTCTCTCTCTCTCTCTCTCTCTCTCTCCCCGTCTCTCTCTCACTCTCTCTCTCGCTCTCTCTTTCTCTCTCTCTCGCCCCCCTCTCTCTCTCTCTCTCTCTCTCGCTCTCTGTCTTTCTCGCTCTCTCTCATCAACTTTTTCTAACCGTGTGTGTGTGTGTGAGAGAGAGAGAGAGAGAGAGAGAGAGAGAAGGGGGTGTGTGTGTTTGTTTAGTTTGTGGCCAGTGTGTGTGTGTGTGTTTAGTCTGTGGCCAGTGTGTGTGTGTGTGTGTGTGTGTGTGTGTGTGTGTGCGTGTGTGAGTGTGCATGTATGTGTGTGTGTGTGTGTGTGTGTTTAGTCTGTGTCCAGTGTGTGTGTGTGTGTGTCACGCAGCCTCCACACCAGAAGTGTTTGGTCAACAAATCCTGTAGGGCCCCGAGTGCAAGAACAAGTAAGGGGCGGTATTCAGTAAGAGTGTACACAGAGCGCTTCTCCTGTCCTTTAGCCGCCTCGTTTGCTGCTCATTCTCTCCCTTTTCCTCCTCTCTCACCCATTCTCTCACTCACCCCCCCCCCTTCCCCCTCCCTGACTCACTCTTGTGGGTGGTTGGCGGGTGCTCTGGTGTGGTTTGCTGAACTTCTTTCCTATCAAACGTCCATCGTCTTTATCTCCACTCAGTGGCGTCGGTGGCCTAGTGGTTAGGCTACCGGACTCGTAATCGTGAGATTGCGGGTTCGGGGGTTCGAGCCTAAGCTCAGTCCGACGTGTATCCTTGGGAAAGGCACTTTACACGAATTTCCCATTTGGCTCGGTCCTTTCGGAGACGGACGTTAAACTAGGAGGCCCCGCCTCTTAAATTGCCTAATAGTGTTGATAGGGGCAGGGGCGTTAAACCCGTATCATTTCACCATTTTTTGGTATTTATCGTCCCTCCTTCTTTTTTGTGTTTGTTACTCTCTTGTCACACATCTAATCTTCGGCACTAATATGACCTTACTGTGTTGCAAGCGCCGTAAAACCTCTACCATTCTCTCCCTCTCTCTTTCTCTTTCTCTCTCTCTCTCTCTCTCTCTCTCTCTCTCTCTCTCTCTCTCTCTCTCTCTCTCTCTCTCTCTCTCCCATTCTCTCCCTCTCCCATTCTCTCATTCACCCTCCCCCTCCCTGTCTCACTCTCACTCGTTATCTCCCTCATTCTCTCCCTCATTCTCTCTCTCTCTCTCTCTCTCTCTCTCTCTCTCTCTCTCTCTCTCTCTCTCACTCATTCTCTCACTCA